GTCTCACATTCCAGCTGATCGATATTGGTTCTGTAAGTAGCGAGGACATTACAGCACTGGCTCAGATTATTAATTCACACACAGGCCACAGGTACCCAGAAATTGTAATAAGCAAAGGTCAGATTTTCACAACTGAAATTACACGTACAACAATAAGAAATATAAGTCAATATCAAAGGAAGGCCTTGTCTTCAGATCCAGAATGTTTCACTCTGCAGACTGCTAATCCGTACAAAATGACAGGCCTGAGTGCCAGTCCCTCTACTGATACGGAGAAACCTTCTATGACACAATGTGTAGAGGTTCAGATGAATACAATGTGTGTTCACTCTTCAGATTACTTTCCCGTCAGCCTCTCAGATTTGGAATTTGGCCAGACGATATACTGGAGTGAACACGCATCTCAAAACCACAAACTCCTAGCACTCGACTTCAGTGGTAAAGTTACAGCTGTGGGTAGTGATGTAAGCAAACTGAAAGTAGGAGATCACATTGTCTCCTGCTACCCTGTGGTTGCTTCCTCCAAAGTCACAATTCCTGAAGCTGTGTGCTATAATACAAAGAAATTCCCCTTTCTTGTGGAAGTGCCATGTTTATCCTACTTTATACTGTCTTGGGAAATCCTGCATTGTGCATTGCCCAGACTGAAACAGCAGAGGAAGCTGGGCATTGTCTGCACTGCACCAGAGTCAAGCCTGCTCCAGGTTTTGGTGCTTGCAGCTAATAAATCAGGATGGGTTACTGTAGCTGGAACACAGTTCAGTGGACTGTTACAGAACATAAACAGGTGTGATGCTTTCGTTTTCTTGCCTCCCTTTGATGCAGATTCAGTTGCAAAGGCATGTAGTGTTTCTAGTGCCAAAGATGTCATTGTTGTCTGTGATAATCAGCTGTCACCCTCCATCTCACAGAAAATCTTTCCAAGTAAAAATGAAAATGTTCACATTTTGCCCCTTCAGGTATTTAATATTTTTCAAAAGGCCTATCTCAAGAAACAAAAAAGGAAAATCTTTAGCTGGATAAAATCGTTGAATTTGGAAAAGAAATCTTTACATCTCAACCGTATCACATTGGGCAGCACTGACTTCCTACACCTTCAAGGCCCTGAATCTTATTTCTGTTGTAAAACTGTGCCTGTAATTGTGCTGGCTTGGGCACCAAAGAAGATCATTTCTGATATTCCAGTGCTCGAGATTGAAAAGCAGCTTTTCCAGCAAAACTCAGTTTATATGGTGACAGGGGGACTTTCAGGTTTGGGATTTGAGACGGTGAAGTTTATTGCAGAACGGGGAGGGGGGTGTATCGTCATTCTTTCCAGAAGTGCTCCTTCAGCAGAAAAGCGAGTAGAGATCACTAGTCTACAAAATCAATTTGGAGTCTCTGTTATTAGCTTGCAGTGTGATGTTTCAGTTTCCGCACATGTTATGAAAGCCATCACTGACATTGGACAGAGGTTTCCTTCTTGTCCCATCAGAGGGGTTTTCCACAGTGCAGTTGTCTTGCATGATGGATTAATTGACATTCTGGAAAAATCACACTTTGAAAAAGTTCTGAGACCTAAGGTTAATGGTGTGCTAAACCTGCATTATGCAACAAGAAACTGTAAACTAGATTACTTTGTATGTTACTCTTCCATTACATCATTCATTGGAAATTCTGCTCAAACAAATTATGCTGCTGCAAATTCATTTCTGGATGTGTTTTGCCATTACCGGAGAAACCTTGGACTTTCTGGACAATCCATTAATTGGGGGGCCTTGAATCTTGGTCTCCTACTGAACCAGGAACATTTCCAACGATTTCTTGAGGCAAAGGGAATGATGATCATGGAAGTGCCAGAGATTCATGAGTGTCTTGAACACTGCTTGCTGCAGAACAATGCTCAGCAGGTTGTGTGCAAGTTTAGCTTCAGGAACCTAAGCAATCATGTTCTTTCTCAAAATGCCTCTTTAAGAATGCGCTTACTGGCTTTGGTGACAGAAGAACTGAACAACACTAAAGTAACAGAATCACAGGCTGAAAATACTCTCGTCTCTTCACCCGATGAGTATGTTAAGTCTCTGCTCTGTGAAGTAGGTAATGTTGATCTTGATGAGATGAGAAATGACACAACTCTTTCTGCACTGGGTATTGATTCAATGTTAGCAATGACTCTGCAAAACCGCATCTTTCAAGAAAGAAAAATGAATGTTCCACTTGTAAAACTTCTAGATCCGACCGCAACAGTTTCTTCTCTGGTGTTGGTTCTCCAGGAGAATGTTGAGATAGAATTACAGAATGAGGATCAGAAAATGTCTTTGAGCATGACTGAGAAAGGTAAAAATGTTTATTTCACAGTTTTTTAAATACCTTCCTAAACTTTATATTATTCCTGTCATACCTGTAAACCTGATAATAAACTAATTTTCTCATTAAACTGAAAATGTTTATACATGCTATCTAATGTGACCATTGTAAATTATTAATCCTTGCATAACACTATCCAGCAGTTTATAAATGGTTTGAGTATTTTTGCCAGAAAACAAAATCAAAATGAAAAATGATACAACTTTTTGTGATTTATATTTTGTCTGTGTATTTTTGTACAGTATATAGAGTACTGTATATGTGCTAAATTAATATGTCAACAGATAAACCAGATTGACATCTTGATCTGTCGTTACTCTTAAATGGAACAAGTAAAGGTTTATTCTTTCAGCATGGAATGAACCTTCTCCTGTTCCTTTACAGCTTTCTCTTGCTGACGCAGCTACTGTACCTACTCAAAATTACTCGTAAGTGACAACTTTTCATCATCATCCTTACATTTATATAGATCTGGTCATTGGTTGTTTCTGGATGTGAAAAGATTTGTGTTCAGGGACTAGAGTAGAAAAAGTACAGGTATTTTGTACCCTCAGTCACTCTGTATATCATTTGGTGTTTGCAAACATTTGAACAGTCAGGACAGAGACATAATCACATTGGCAAATTATTCATTCACTTTAATTTGTAGAATTATATAATTTCTCAACAGTAAACATGCAGTTGTGACTAAAATAACTTTGTGCTTGGTTGTGTATTCTGTCTTATTTACATTATCACCCATAAGTGTCATGCCCCACACTCTCCCTCGCAAATGACGTTGCATTCCCAGAACCACTGTTTCACAATCTCATCCCTGATTGAACCCATCACATTCCCACATGCACCAGATTCCTCAAATTCTCACTCCCTAACCAATTTTCCAACCACAACCCTTTCCTTTCAGTATTTAAACTCCCCTCACACACCTTCCCATGCTCACTATTGAGAAGCCTCTTGTAGTATTCTCCAGTGTGTGTTTCCAAGCTTCTTGACTGATCTCCTGTTATGAATCTTGCTTCTGCTTTTTGACCTTGCCTTCTGGATTTTGACTTTTGGATACCTCTCTTTAGTGGACCCTTTGCCTCCCTTATTGACCCAGCCTTTGGATTTTTGTCTTTTGGATTGTCCCTTTCCTACTCTTGTGTTCTGTGGGATTCCGGTCACACATAAGGATCCTCCAATTCTGCCAAAGTGAATGTATCAATGTGGTTTTTTTTCTGCTGGAGAAATGGCATTCCTTATTTATCTCTTAATAGAAATAGTGAGTATGAATAAATTGACTCTATCCTTTAAAATTTCAGGATTTAAAAAAAAAAAAGAAATTCCAAGTTAGGTGGTGTAAGAAGAATATGTACATTATGAACAGAAGAAAGCAAATAACAATGGAGGATCCCCCCCTTAAGCATGAAAGAGAGGTCAGATATCCCTCTTCTGAATTTTAAGAACCTTAAAAGGCTACACCAGGAACCACTGGGAGATTATCAGAGCCAAAGCAGGGTGTACTATAGGCTCATTGCCAGATTATATAATTGTTGAGGATATGAGTAAACTTGGAGGCTACTGTATTTTGACATTGTTGTTTTCCAAATGTTTCAACATAATTATATTCATAATATACTTATCTAATTCTAAATACTAATTGTCTAGGGCTCTGTCAAAATGTGTTTCTAATTTTCAGCATGGAATCAATAATTACTTTTACATTTTGTCCAATTTATGATTGTACATTTAAGTAAATCAGAAAAAGCAGCAAGCACACTTCATAATACTTTCAGATATTATGTATTCAAAATACTTGTTTATGTAGTGAAGAGGACCAGGTGAAAAAGTGAAAGCAATCTGCAAACACTTTTATATAAATTGTCTGGAAAAAAATGTTATGTAAATCTGCATTTTGCTTTTAAAACAGTGTGTTATTGAGCCACAACCCAATAACATGGTTTTTCAGAATTGCAATGAAATTGAATGTATTAAAATTCCTGCTGCTTGTGACCCCTTCATATGAGACATACTGTAAATTAATAATAGCTCTTTGCAAATTATTAACATCTATTAATGCAATAGCTAACGGGCCTTCTGGATAGTTTCTGGTTTATTTTTTGCTGTTATTTCCTAGTTCCTTTTGGAAAGGGTCAAGCACAATGCAGATAAACGTTTTTTCCCCAAATAAAAGTTTAATCAGTAGAACCTTCAAAAATCAAATAAAATGAGAAGAAATCACATTTGGCTAGTGTTTGCATGACAAGATAAAGCTATAACTACAGTATATGGTATTTTGATATTAAATGCTTATTAAGACAGAATTAACCTACCTTTTACCAAATATATCAATATACCAAAGAATATCTTATGAATTTAGAAATGGTGAAAGGTAAAAATGTAATATAAAATCCTTGAATTTCAGTATGATGGACTATAACAATGGTACAGACTTCATAGAACATAAACTTGGGTTCTTCTTTACAACCCTTTCATCATGTACAGGTAATGCTTGGGAAAACAGCTTATATGTCAAAATACATACTGAGGATTTAAAATATGTCTTGCAGTATGTGGGGAAAGTTCATTTCAAAGACATAATTATTAACAAACATAATTAACTTATCAGCTTAATTAAGTTGTAATTTACAGAACACATAATGAAATGTATCCCGCAAGAGAAGATCGGAGCATAGCAACAAATATAGGGAAAAATTATGGACTTCACCAACAGACCCACTTTTTCATCTGTGTAGGTTTTTTATGCTTTTTTTCCTGAAGGCTTTGATAGTATCACCAAAAGCCAAAAGAATGACATGAAATTGTATTTCAAGACAAATCTGTACACTATGAATTTTCCAGTGTTGTAAAATTATTTATTGAATTTGAATTAAAATAAAGGAAGGACATTAGAATGAACTAACCGTAACCTATTATTTGGATCAGAAACTTGAGAAGAAGATTTGCCTTGGGGAAAAGCATCAGAAAGCTGGTGTTAAAGAAAGTGATTTACTTAAAGCAAAAATCAATATACTGTACATTAATTTGGCTTGACATTAGAGGTGATTTTCAAAAGATACGTTTGGCACTTTATTTGATACTGGTGACCACCAGATTTAATGTTTTGACTATATTAAAAAATAGACACCATAATTTATTCACTTACTGTATGTGCATTTTCTCTGGTCTTGTCCCCCAAAGGACACGGAAACTGGTCAGAAAATTATCCCATGAAATGTCCCATGAAACCACCAGTTACTTTTTAACATTGTATTACAATGGTTGTTCAGTACACTCAGAACAAGGTTTTGAGAGGTCAATGCCAATTGAATCACACAGTAAGTTAATATTTGCACCAGGAAGGAAAAAACATGTCCAATTCTTATATATAAAACCTACCTTCTATAGCTTTTATGCGGATATTTGTGAGAAAGCCCACATCAAAGGGCTTGAATATGAAAAGTCTAAAATTTTGTAATCAACTGCAAAAGCAAGAATAAATTAATAAAAATGTTTTCATAGTTTACCGTATGCCTTCTGCTTTGAGTGAGCAACAGTCAGATGACATAAAGGCTATATGAAGAAGATCTCAGACTCCTTCAGGAAAAAAGGAAAAAAGGATTCAAGGTAAGACTACTATACGATTTACATCTATTTTGCATAACATTACAAAAATATGTGATTATAAATGTGCATATTTGAATAGAAGCATTTCCTATGCACAAAAATAAAAAATAGTACTTTGGTAAACAAACCTTGACATTCAAATAAATGAAATAAATATTTTAAACATTCCCTATTAATTATGCTTTACTTTTAAGAACATTGCATGATACAAGGCTTTTTAAAAATAGTTTAATGATGCAAAACCTTACATATTTAAGGGAAAAATAAAGCCAGTAGCTTTTGCATGGTAAGGAAAGTTTCACAGGATAAGAAATAGCTCACCAGCATTTGTGAAAAAGGGTCATGAGAGCAGGATGTGTAGACTAGTAGTTTTTCTTTGTGGAAGTATATATAAAAAATCTAGTTTTAATAAGGAATGGATAATTTCACTGTATAGTTAGGATCAGCAAAATATGAAGATCTTACTGTATTATGAATATTAATATTTTTTATTATACAAGTTCTTTGGTATTTGAAAAACCTGTCAAAATCAGCTTTATCATGTTAACTAATACAGTAGAAATGTCTCTAGGCTTATATGGCAAATTAACTGAAAGTTATCAATATCACAAAAAAGTAAAGAATGAAATTAACTTACAGTTTATGGATTCTTTTCTGTGTAAAAAAATCTTTATTTACTGTGCTGGTAACAGACATTCACTGTACTACTTGAACACATGGTGCATAGAATCATTATTTAAATCACTATGTAAATACTTAAAGTTATACAAACATAAACAATGTAAAATTGTCCAAAAAATCTAGACATTTATTTTTATACAGAATTATTGCCATAGTGAAAAATGTATTTCCTTCCATCTGTCCATTTTATAATCGTATCATTCTGTAAAAGGTTGCAGGGAAGCTGGAGCCTATCCCAGCAAACAATGGGCAAGAAAGCAGTATATACCCTGGGAAGGACACCAGTCCATTACAGGGCGCACACAGACTTCCACACATCCACCACAGGGCCGGTTTTCCCAAAAGCCAATTAACTTACCGGTATGTCTTTGGACTGTGGGAGGACACCCACACAAACATGGGAAGAACGTACAAACTCCATGCAGATAGCAACTCTGGTCTGGAATGGAACACAGGGCCCCAGCACTGCAAGTCAGTAGTGAAAACCACTGCACTACTGTGCCACAGTCTTGACATTTAACAGGTTAAATTACCTCAGTACCTGTGCCCAATCAATTTATGCACAAATGAATTTGCTTAATGCTTGTGTAATAGTCAGTGTCACTGCAGTGCATCATGTCAATCTTCAAAGATCAATTAAACAAAATGCCACAAAAACATTTGATCATTATCAAAAATCTGCATACTATTTTTCTACAAAACATATATGCAGAAATAAAGTGATAAATTGTACCCAATAATGTAATTAAAAAAAAATAATTGACAAATAATACATAATTCCTAAATATATTATCACTGCTTTTTCTTTTAAACAGGAAAGTCTTTCACTTTATTTTTTCTGTTTTATGTTGTAGAATGTATTAATAAAAATGCAAAGTAAGCATCATGGAACACAAAGAAGATATTGCTGTAGTAGGCATTGGATGCAATTTCCCAGGAGGTAAGCATTACTTAATTTTTGTGATTGCCTGATTTATATATAAGTATTTTAAGACATTTTATTTCTTTTTACCATTTTTTTCAGATAAACACAAATCTGTACAGACTATCATATCATCATATTAAATGATTTGTAGTTGTTATAGCTGAGACTATAGTAACTAGCAATCTTGCACTTCTTTCATATATTTGCCTGCTATGCACCTATTTATATGCATAATTTCTCTCATCCCTCTTTCCACCCCATTTTATTCTTCAAGTGCAGAGTTTTTGGCAGTCTTGAACTTATGACCAGGAATGTTATTTCCCCATTCTGGTGACATAACGCTGACATTTTAAGTAGTAGTAAATAATAATAATAATAATAATAATAATAATAGCTTACACTTATATAGTGTATAGTACTCCCCTCCACCACCACCAGTGTGCAGCACCAGCTGGATGATGCGACGGCAGCCATAGTGCGCCAGAACGCTCACCACACATCAGCTATTAGTGAAGAGGAGAGCAGAGTAATGAAGCCAATTCATAGATGTGGATTATTAGGAGGCCATGATTGATAAGGGCCAATGGGAAATTTGGCCAGGACGCCGGGGTTACACCCCTACTCTTTTCAAGAAACACCCTGGGATTTTTAATGACCACAGAGAGTCAGGGCCTTGGTTTTACGTCTCATCCAAAGGACGGCGCCTGTTTACAGTATAGTGTCCCCATCACTATACTGGGGCATTAGGACCCACATGGACCGCAGGGTGAGCGCCCCCTGCTGGCCCCACTAACAACTCTTCCAGCAGCAACCTTAGTTTTTCCCAGGAAGTCTCTCATCCAGGTACTGACCAGGCTCACACCTGTGGCCAGTTCAGCGGTTGCCAGTTGTGAGTTGCAGGGTGATATGGCTGCTGTACTATACATTCACCTTTTATAGTTGTCATCTTGTCGTGTTAATTAAAATTTAGCAGAACTACTGAAATATACAGTAATTTGTACATTGACTATTGCATTCATGTCATGTGCTTACATACAGTATGCCTTTGGGTCCCATGTTGCATGCTTTTTGTTTGTGAATTACACTATATCTGGGAGCCTGTTGGAACTGTTGAAATTGAAAAACAAACATAGAAATGTTTTATATACGAGAGAGAAAGAAATCCAACCATCAGCGTTGTTTACTCTATTTAAAGGTGAGGGAATAGACAACTTCTGGAAGGTTCTTCTGGAGGGAAGGAACTGTGCAGTGGAGATCCCAAACGAGAGGTTCAGCAGCAAGTCCTGGTACGATCCTGATAACAGCAAGGCAGGAAAATCACGGACTACTAAAGCAGCTCTCATTGATGGGTAAGAGAATCTGTCACAGGAATCTTCTTTAATATGCACACAGGCACACACATACAGTATTGTATACTCCTGTGTAGGAGCAAGTAAAGTGAAAATTCATACTGCATGTATAAAGTTTCTAGAATAGTGATAAGAAGGTATTTTTTTAACTAAATCAATAATAATACATTCTGAATCAAAGACATACTGTTTGTTGTGTATCTTAATAAAGAGCCGTTCTTATATTATTTTAACTATTTTATTAACTACACAGATCACGCCCTTACACCATTTATTCCCACCTTCTACTCTCTCGTTCTGTTGTCTCCCAATGTCTACTCACTATACGACATCCCTTCCTTTGTTATTTTTAAAGTCCATAACTTTACCATACAATTGTAACAATTCTATATCAACACACAGTAAACGGTTATTAACTATTACAACAAAATGTATGTAAAACCTTCCATTTCTATTCAACACCTTCAACTTTTTTTACAACTATTTCTATGCGTACCAACTCAAATTTTAGTTCAATTTCTACTTAAGTCACTTCTAAATATCACCTCAGTTCTAGCAGTCTAAGCAACATCTACATAGATAACACAAACAAAATAGGGCAATTTAACATTTGGAGAGCTACTGTATGCAAGTCTTATATTTTTAAATGTCTCTGTATCGAGCCGGTTTCCTGATAACCCTGCCACTTCTGGTTGTTACTTCGCTTCTGGGCAAAGTTACTGGCTCTCCTACGGATGTACTCTCCACTGTCTGAAGACTCGGCACTTCCTGCGCGTCAGAAAGTCCAGTATTCTCAGCATTTTCTGTTTCTGCAGATTCAAAATCAAGATCCAATGGTAGAGCGTGTCGAAGATGTTTTACATTTCTCATTATTTTTGAGCCATCTTCCACATTCACTAACTCAAAAGAGTTACAAGAGGTGTTTCTCAATAACACATAGCGAGTGTCTTTGAACTTGGCATCCAATTTACCGTTGTCTAGGCCAGCCACAAACACTACATCACCGACCTTGAAGTTGTGATCCCTTGCTCGGTGTGTCTGGTCTGCATATAATTTCATTTTGTGTGCGTACTCCTCATGATGTCTATGGATATCTTTTGTCTTTTGAATGTCCTTCGGCTCTTCTTCTTTCTTTTCCACGTTTGGTAGTTTAGTCCGGATATCACGTCCAAAGATAAGATTAGCAGGGGTTTCTCCAGATGCCCTGTGAGGTGTTGATCTATTAGCCAGCAGAATCTTAGGGAGTTCCTCTCTCCATTTTTTTCCTTCTGTCGCAGCTGCTCTCAAGGCCTTTTTCAGGTATCTGTGAAATCTTCAAAATTTAAATCTTTTAAATTTTGCCATTACTGCTCGGATAGTAAGGTGATGCACGGATGTGTTTAATTCCACAGTTAGTCAGAAATTATTCAAACAACTGTCCTATGAATTGCCTGCCATTATCTGTTACTACCTCTAGTGGATAACCAAATCGTGCAAAGATGTTCATCAGCTCTCTAATAACTGTGGCTGAAGATATGTCTGATACAACAACCACCTCAGGGTAAGAGGTATAATAGTCTATGACAGTCAATATGTATTCATTCTGAATGGGACCTACCAGATCAATGCCCAATTTTGTCCAAGGCCTTGGTGGTAATTCAAGTGGTTGGAGAGGTTGATCCTCCTGCAATGGCTGATTTATCACACAAGTGGAACAATTCCTGACCAGTCTTTCAACATCACTGTCCGTGTTGGGCCAGTAAAACTTGCTTCTCAGGTACTGTTTTGTACGAACTACACCCTGATGTGTCTCATGTGCTATTTTCAATGCTTGTCTGATATTTTGTTTTCGGTAACACAATCCTCTGTCCTCTTAAAAGCAGTCTATCATATGCAGATAACTCCAACCTACACCTGTGGTATGGCTGCAGTTCTTCTGGAATTGGATTAGGCCATTGTCCTTTTTCCACTGTGGACATCAACAATTTCAATGTGTCATCTTAGTTGTTGCTTGCATAAGTTCCTCAAGTGCCAGTGCATGCAGTTCATAAGTGCTGATTGAAAGGACTCTATCAACATAGGTGTCTACATAACCAGTGTCTTCTGTGTCTGGCAAAGGCTTTCTCAGTTTCCGATGTCCATTCCCACTTCTGTCCTTTCCTTGTTCGTTTTCGAAGGGGTTCTGATATATCCGCATAATTAGGAATGAATTTCCTAAAAAATCCACAAGTGCCTAAGAACGAGCGCAAAAGTGCAACAGTCTCGGTGCACTGCAAACAGCTGTCACCTTTTTCGGGTCTGGTTTTATTCCTTCTGCAGTGACCAAATGTCCCAGTATCTCGATCTCTTTCAGGCCAAAGATACACTTTATTTAAAGTTAAGCCTCTGTCTTGGAATCTTTGGAATACTTGCCTGAGCCTCTGTTCTAGTTGTTCTTCATTTTCCGCATGTACTACAACATCACCCATATACCATACAACACCTGGCATTGCACACATCGAGTCCATAGCCTTCTGATAGGCACGAGACAAGCCAAAAGGAACTTTTCTGAAACAGTAACAACCCCTGTGTGTGATGAAGGTAGTCAGGTGTCTTGATTCCGGGGCCAATTTAACTTGCCAGAACCCTTTTCGAGCACCTAACTTTGCAAAAACTTTGGCTCCTTGCACTGCTTGCAATATGCTGTCAACCGTTGGTACTGGATGTCTCTCTCTGATAACTGCTTTATTCACTTCTTGAAGATCCACACACAGTCTCACTTCCTTGGTGTCTTTTTTTAGGTATTATCAGAATATTTGAGATCCATTCTGCACCTTCATTCACATCTTCAATAATTCCATCATCCAACATTTTATCTAACTCTTGATTAACAGCTTCTATCATTGGATAGGGTACTCGTCTCAGACTTTGAGCTACTAGCGAAACTTTCTCATCTACTGTAACCTTGTGACTGTAACCCTTGATCTGTCCTAACCCTTTAAAGAGTGACTCATATTCATGTGATAACTGCTTAAACCTCTCTGAAGACTGGTCAACTGCATTGACAGTGTCTCTTACATTCAGAATCTTAGGATCAAAACATGCTTTTCTTCTCAACAACGCTTCTAAATGTCCTTCAACTACATAGACTTTGTCCTTTATTACATTTTTCTGCCATTTCATCTGTGCCTCGAAGTAGCCAACACACTTAAGTGGACTAATTTGTGCATAGGCATAAAATTTCTTCTTAGTCTGCTGAAGTTTAGTTTTGTGTGCAAACACTTTCTTGAAAAGTTCTTCTCCAGTGAAGTTTCTTTGACTTCCTGTATCAATCACCATTTTTATCTCTTGGCCATTTATTTGAACAGTTTCTTTACATTCAGGGTCAATGGAATTAACAAATTCATCTGATTCAAGAAGGTTCTTGAATTGTTCGTAGTTTTGTCCCTTCCTTATTTGTATCAAGTTTCTTTTTCTGATGGGAACCGTCTTTCTTTCTACACACTCGTGCATAATGTCCTGTTTTCTTACAGTGTAGACATTTTGCTGTTCACACTCCGCATTCATCTGCTTTGTGCGTTGTTAGTCCGCACCTGTAACATTTAATGTCAGCCGTCCCCTGTTCTTCTATATCTCTAGCTTGACTGCGTCCGGCTGCTCGGCTTTTGTTTGTAAAGTCTGAGCGATCGCCCCGTTCGGTGTTTATTGTGAAGTAAACATGACTCTCTCTAGCTTTGTCACTGTGGTCAGAAAGCATTTTTGATTCGGCTTGAGCTGCTTCATGAATTCTAGCGACTGTAAGAGCTCTTTCTAAAGTCAGCCCTTCCTCCTGCAACAATTTATCACGCAGTCTCTTATGTGCACATTTTTCCATAAGTTGATCTCTTAACATGTCAGCTTCCAATACTCCAAAGTCACACGATTTAGCCAGTCCTCTTAGTGCATTCACAAAAGCATCAACAGATTCGTCCAGAGACTGAGTTCTCTGCCTAAATTTATGCCGTTCCAAAGCCACATTTCTCCGTGGTATAAAGTAAGCGTCTAAGGCAGCTACAGTCTGTTCATATGTACCTTTTTCTCCAGGGATGTTGGCGAAAATTCGCTGCACGGGAGCCCCGATACAGTGCAGTAATGTAGCCCGTCTCACGGCATCAGGAGCTTCTGTAGATCCACTGGCTATTTCAAAAAATCTGTACGACTCCATCCATATCTTGTATTCCGTATACAAATCCGGAGCTCCGAGGTTCAGTGGAAGCGGTGGAGAAAGCTGGGCATAAGCAAAACGTCTCGGCACTGCAGCCATATCTTCCATGGCGCAAGCTTAACGAACAGTCCGAAAATTCAAAAGTTCGTTTCAACCAGCAAAAAAACTAAAATCTGCAGTGTTGTGCTCGCTTTGAGTTCATCAAGCACTCATCTCTCGTCGAAATAAATGTTGTTTATGTTAATAAAGAGCCGTTCTTATATTATTTTAACTAATTAACTACACAGATCACGCCCTTACACCATTTATTCCCGCCTTCTACTCTCTCGTTCTGTTGTCTCGCGATGTCTACTCACTATACTACACTGTTAAACAGATTTTCAACACCAGAACATTGAATATTTTTCTGAAAAAAAAAAAGACATAAACACAGTAATGATCTTTTCAAACATTCTTCTATTCATTTTAATCTTTGGCATCACCACTGTGTTTCATTGGCATTCTCTCAACAAGAGATTAATAATTCAGTACATAAAACGGGATATTAACACAGGACAGGCCAAGAAAAAAATAGCTCCATGAAGCCCCCCAACCAACAGCATAAATGATGAAACCCACAGCATTTGTTAGTGCCGCATTTGAAAGACACAATTTCAGCTTGGAGAAATATGACGACTTAACAAAGGCAGTCATATCTGTGTCTTCAGACGTCAAAGTGTACCCTCAAGCTGTATTCTACACCTAGGATTGACAAGAAATACACAAGTAAAAGGACTGTGACCTAATCATGCGAAGTTTGCATGTAAGAGCACTGTAAATACAAAGACATGGATAAAGGCTGTTTTTTTGAGACCTTAGATAAAGTATATGTTCAGTTATTCTATCTGAAAATAAGAACATTTTTCCCAATATTTCCAAGGTCTACACGTGTGAGACAGTACAGTTTCCAATGTTGTTTTGTAGATGTGTTACGAACAACCTGGGTCAATTTAGTGCATGGTGCTCCCTTAAAAAAATTTACAAATTTGCTTTGCATAAAGAGGTATAAAAACAATGGTCTTGTAAAGCAGGAATTTTCTCATTCTAACCTTTTAAAATATGTGGCTCAAAAGACAGGTGGAATCTTTAAACATCTGGATTGCACGTTGTTAATTACAGAACAGTCAAGCTTAGTTTTTATAGATTTCTTCCTTAATTCCTTCATGGCGTATTGGACTTCTATTGTATGAAGTGCTTTCATTGCACAAACCGTTAAAATCCCTTTGCCTGCCAACAATAAAGACCCCGATATAGAGTGACAAATTAATAACGTACTGTAGTATGAAGTCTATGGCAAGGGCTGAAGTCATTGAGTAGAATAATAATCTTTACCTCACTCTGGAAATAAATCCAAAGTCAACACTAGTCAACACTTTTCAACCATCTCCATAGGAATATTTCCAAAAGATTACTTCTGATAATCATCATGCCTGACACTACCAATGATCACCAGTAATGGCCAAAAACTGAGATGTCTCTTATTTTGCTGCACTCTCAACCCAAATGGACCATTCATAAATCTAGTAACGTGGTTAGAATTACCTGTCACTGAGGAACATGGTAGGTAGATTTGCCCCTTTATCAGATGATGTCACAATCACAAGCCGTGACAATGCAGCTTACAAGTTGTTGCACCACACAAGATCCTGACTCCTTAACAACAAACTAATCACATGCCTGGGAAGAACACTGTGCTATACAGAACCAGTTAGGCACAATACCTTAGCTGAAAGAAATTGTTATGCACAGAGAGACACTCGATGTAAAATAAAATTATTCTCAAAACGTGCATGTAAGCAACTTGTGATGTTCTCAATTGTGATCACCTGATCACCAAACTTATACAGAGTGACCTTTGTAGACATAACTGAATATCATGATTCCTTGATATATCGCTCAATAGATAATGACAGCATGACTTGTGTATAGCCATTCCTCTTTCTGTGGTGTTTTCAAACCTCCTTCATAATCAATTAGTAGAGCATTCAATATTCACATTTAAAGACTCAAAAATATACCGTTCCAAACATGTGCATGTTTGATAATGTATTTATTCATGATAGCATTTGAATATTTGTCTTCTCTTTAAATTTTATTTGATGATTATTGACAAATATTTCTGTTTTGAGACTGATTTTACAAAGCTGACAGACACTGACCCATATATTAGTCAACATAATTAACTCTGTATTAGTTATCTCTTGTAATCCCTGAACTGTTAATCATACTTTTGTGTGTGTCGTGATAGTTTTGTTTATAGTGTTACATCATATTATTGCATTAAAAATTGTATCTTGGATTCTCTGGATCAATGTGGGCAGATCTCTTCAATTAATTCCTTATAGCCATAATAGTACTCCTTGTTTCTTTTAATTTAATTTTTACTTGAAATTAAGTAAATTCAAATGCTCAAACTACAATACTAAGAAAAAATTTCCTTTTTAACAGAAATGAATTATGTCCAGTGCACATTCAAGCTATTGGCGGCTAAGGCAAGTAGTCAGACTAAATTCCTTGTGAATTAAAGCTGGCCTATAATTCATTATGGAGTTTTTCAGAAAGAAGTATTAGTTGAAAACTGTTATAGGAACAGGGGGTGGTTATTTAAAAATAAAAGACTCTAGATAGTTTTGAGATACTTTTGCCCTTAAAGTTGAAGGCTTTCTAAAAAAGTATTCACTTTTAACAAAATGTATTGCCATGTTCCCCAACTTCCAGGTTCAACACATTCGACCATAAGCTCTTTGGCATTACTGAGGCTGAGGCTGACCGCATGGATCCTCAGCAGAAACTGCTCCTGGAGTGCACCTACAGGGCCCTAGAGGAAGCTGGGATACCAACAGAGAAAGCCAGCGGAACCAGAACAGGAGTTTACATTGGTACTGTACTTTTTCTTTTTTTCATGTAAATTATTGTTTCTTTTCATGTGTAATATAATTATACAGTCACAAAATTGAAAGAATTTAAACAGGTCCACCTTCTTATTTATTACATAAAAATGTAAGGTTTTGTTATTGTTGATCAACCTGTTTGTTCTTTAATACCACGAGAGGTACTTTTGTTCCTTTCGTGTATTATAGTTTGCTTTATTACAGCAATTTCCTAAAAGTTTGACCTCCCCTGTTGGTAGACCTTGCGGATTTTGCACAATTGATTTTCTTTCAGGTCTCATGAACAGAGATCATGAAATGATTTTAAGCAACAGTCCCGCCACAATAAACCACTACAATGGCACGGGGACAGCAATGAGCATCGCCGCCAATCGGATTTCCTACACCTTCAACTTCACGGGGCCCTCGTTCGCCATCGACAGCGCCTGCTCCTCTTCGCTCGTGGCTCTTCACTCTGCCTGCCAGGCCATCAGACAAGGTACATTTTCTCAAACTGTTAAGGATATTCAGCAATGTTCAACAAGTTAATTAAATTTGTCAAGATATAAATAGCTTTAATTTTTCTCAAATTTGTTTGTCAGTGTTGTTTTTGGTGAAGTTGATTCTGGATTTGTTTATTGTCTGGTTGTATTCACCAACTAACAGAGAATGGCAACAGATAAGACAGGTCATGTTAGCTTACCGGTAACATTTGTCTGGAAAGATCTGGAAGAATGAACAGCTATATCATGAACATCATAAGCAATAATACCTTTAACATATCTTATCTCTTTTCTCTTTCCATTTATTTTAATCAGTTCCATTCCATTATAAAATAGGCATATCATAACATAAGCTTACATCCAAAGAAAGCTCCATAGCCGAAACATTGTTTACTTTCTTCTCTTTTCAGCAAGGAAAAGAACTATTACTTGTTTCTTTGCAGCCTACGCATGCCGACGCAGCTACCCACCTGAACTATATCATAACTTTTTTCTGTATGTAGTTCCATCAACTGAAGCAAATATGCACCTATATCTGTAAAGGCACTAATATGCAGTGAACACAATTTAATTGGATATCTGATTATTGTTTTCTAGGGGACTGCGAAATGGCAATTTGTGGAGGTGTCAGCTGCATCATCGAGCCACGAATGTTTGTCGTCCTCAGCAAAGCAAACATGATTTCGCCTGAAGGCACCAGCAAGCCCTTCTCCAGCAAAGCAGATGGCTATGGAAGAGGGGAGGGCTGTGGGATTGTCTTACTGAAGCCCCTGCAAAAGGTGAGAAGTTCTGTGTTTTACTGTACCTTCGCTGCAAAGGTGAAGGGCTGCACTCTGAAATGTAACTGGATTACTTAAAATTAAATAAGAACAGTATAAAATTATTTAAATAAGATCACTTTATTTAACCATACACAATTTCTTGCATTAGGAATTTGTCTTTTTGTATACCCCAGCTTGCTCTCTATGAGACACACAGACAGGAAGAGAAGCATGGGGTCAGAGCGCAGGGTGAGCAATTTATATGCTGCCCCTGGAGCAGTTGGGGTTCAGGGCCTTGCTCAGGAGTCCAACGGAGTAGGATTCCTTTGCCAGCCACAGGATACAAACCTGTGACCCTCCAGCCACAGGTGCAGATCTTGAGCCACAGAGCCACCGCTCTGCCCTTAAAGTGCGTTTAAGAGCATTTAAAAGTGCTCTTGAATGTTTCTACCAATAAATGTGCTCATGTTGAGCTGCCAAATCCAGATACTACATCATAATTCAAAATAAAATATTATTTTTATGTACATCTTCTATTTGCAATTTGTATATTATTGTACATCTGGGAGCTCTTCTGCCATTGAGTTTATTCAAAAAGAAATCAAATACTGAAAATGTGTTTTCTAAATACATGCATAAAACATTTTCCATTCATTGTTACTGCAACATTTGACAAGCCAATATCAGATAGCAATCCTATTTACCTGTCCATTTTAGAACACAAATTGAAAAGAAGAATGTTTTCTTCCAAAGTTTTACATTTTCTTCATAAAGATACTCATTTAAGCAAACACAGCTGAGTCCTATTTGTGTTAACAGGCTAAGAGGGATTTTGACCACGTGTGGGGCATCGTATGCAGCACTGCTGTAAATCAAGATGGCCGCTCTGTCACCCCAATCACCAAACCATCCATGGCCCAACAGCAGGAGCTCCTTCGCACAATTTACCCTGCACAGATTGATCCATCACATGTCCAGTACGTGGAGGCTCATGGGACTGGAACCCCGGCAGGAGATCCCACAGAAGCTGGCAGCATCTCCAACGTCATAGCCAAAGCCCGCCCCCCAGGATCCCCAGCGCTTTGTGTCGGCTCTGTGAAAGGTAACATTGGGCACACCGAGTCTGCAGCAGGGGTGGCAGGGCTCGTCAAGGTCCTGCTGATGATGCGCCATGAAACCATTGTCCCCTCCCTCTTCTATTCTGAGGACAACGCAAGTATCGATGCCAAAGCCCTGAATCTCAAAGTCCCTACCGCAGCAGAGAAGTGGGTAGAGACTGGGCCGCTGGGAAGGGCTGCAGGCATCAATAACTTTGGCTTTGGAGGCACCAACGCTCATGCTGTCGTGAAGCAGTACAGACAACAGCAAGATGTTAGGTCAAGAACTAACACTGCGCCCAAACTGTTTGTTCTGTCCGCAGCCACAGAAAGGTCTCTTAAAATGATAATAGAAGACACTGTCCAAAAGATCAGCAATGACAAGACAGTTGACCTGCAAGCTCTAGCTTATACATCTGCATGTAGAAGGACTCACTTGAGGCACAAATACAGAAGAGCCTTTGTTGTATCTTCTATCAGTAATTTAGTAGAGCAACTTAAATCTGCAACAACCAAGAGCATTGCTCAGTCAAAGTCCATCCCGAGGTTGGTTTTTGTGTTTTGTGGCAATGGAGTTACCTACCGAGGCATGTGCAAGCAGCTATTACAAGAGGAGTGCGTTTTCAGGGAGAAGGTGAAAGAGATAGATGAGATTTTCCACAACTATAAGAGCATGAATCTCCTGGAGAAACTAGACAGTGATTATGACAACGATGAGTACTCCAAACCAGATGTTGTCCAGCCACTTCTCTTTGCTGTCCAGGTTGCTATTGCCAGCCTTTTCAAGCACTGGGGTGTCAAAGCAGACGCCATGGTTGGGCACTCTGTGGGAGAGGTGGCTGCTGCACATTGTTCTGGACTGCTGTCCCTGGAGGACGCAGTTAAGGTCATTTACTTCCGCAGTACTCTTCAGGCCACAGCGACTGGCGGGAAAATGCTTGTGGTCAGTAACATAAGTGTGACAGAGATCTTAAAACTCCTGCCCGCATATTCAGGGAAACTTTGTCTTGCTGCCTACAACAGTCCTAGATCATGCACCTTGTCAGGGGATCCAGATGCTATAGAAAGTATACATCAGAAATTGAAAACATCATTTAGCAGCAAGAATTTATTTCTTCATGTTTTAGACGTTCCAGCTGCCTACCACAGCCACATGATGGATCCAATTTTAAGGCCAATTGAAGAGAATGTCGGCATGTTGACACAGGAACCAATGGAGGTAGAGCTGTTCTCAACTGTGACAGGAAAAATGTGTTCTCCAGGTGATTTTATCACAGGCGAATACTGGGCAAGAAACATTCGAGAGCCAGTAGCTTTTGAGCAGGCAGTGAAATCTGCTGCGAAAGACAAGAGGAATGTAGTTTTTATAGAAATTGGTCCAAGAAGAGCACTGCAAAGGAATATCCTGGAGACACTAGGGAATGAGGCCACGGTATTCTCATCCGTGCAGCCAGACAAAGACCATGAGGCAATGCTCACTGTCATGTCAAAGCTTTTTGAGTTGGGCCTGCAAGTCAACTGGGACCGACTTTATGAAGGACATGAGACAATACCAACACCATTTCCAAGGTATCAGTTTGACAGTCTGAAGAAAGAGGTGTACTTTGAGTTGGTAAGGAAAGGCAATGAAACTGTGTCAGCTTCCAATCACCCTGTGCTGATGCAGACCAGCAATGACGACAAAGAATTCAGTTGCGACATTTCATCAGATGCTGCATCTTATATATGTGAACATAAAAATAATGGTGTTGTTATAGTTCCTGGTGCCTTCTATGTTGAAATGGGATTGGCATCATTCAAGGCCAGTGTGAGACCAAAAGTACCACTCAGGTCACTACAGCTCACCATTCATTTCCAGAGTCCTTTCATTGTGAGCAAAAACTCACCTGAGATGAAAGTACAGCTCGAACCAACACACAATCTGACAATGTTTAAAGTAAAGTCTGCAGTAGCCACTTATGCTTCTGGAAGAATTGAGTGTAGTGCAGAAAGGACTGTCGAAGAAAAGAAAATCTTACTGGACTTTATCTTCAAGAGATGTCACTTGGTCATCAAGTCTGAAGATGTCTACAGAACTCTTGCTCAGATAGGGTTTCAGTATGGCTCGGTCTTTAGAAACCTTGGAGATGTGCTCTATGGGGAAGAGTTCAAGGAAGCTCTCACTAGAGTGAAGGTCCCAGATGAAACTTTAAACCAGCTACATGACTATTGTATACACCCAATAGTGTTAGATTATTTCTTACAGATGACCGCTGTTGTAGCAGCCAAAGGATTTAAGACAAGACCTGGGTTTCCTTCAGCCATAGGGAGCCTAACAGTTTTAGAGCCATTGGAAGAAGAAATGGTGATGTATTTAAGGACAACCAAAGCAAACTCTGACTATCTTGAGGTGTGTGGTTGCTTCACAAACAAAAAAGGCTGTGTTTTAGTTGAACTTAAACATGTGAGGATGACTTTTTTAGGAAATACATCTTCAGTTTCTGAAAAATACCTCTTTCACAACGAGTTAACGACAGTTGCAGAGGATTTCAACTCTAGCAACAGGTCAGTGGCTCTGGTCTTTGCAGACCAGTTAGGAGTGGCCCAGGCCTTGCGACAGCACTTACATCACAACTGTACCTACATTCCCTTCCAAGACTCTAGGAAATTTGCAGACCGTGAGCTTCCTGAATTGATTTCACAATTACATGTTCCAGGCAAGCAGTACAAAGAGGTTTTGTTTTTGTGGGGGATACAGAACCTCAATAATCTGACAACAGAGGAGGTTCTTGAGTGCCTAGTTTGCTGTTGTGAAGTCTACTGCCAGATTGTTAAAACCATGAAAGAGAAAAAATCCCCTAATCTCATCAGAGCTGTCACGTACAGATCAACAGAGAACACAGTTGACCACATTACCCCAGGGTTTGTGCTTTCCGGTATGACAAGGTCTTGTGCAGCAGAAATTCCAAGTCTCACATTCCAGCTGATCGATATTGGTTCTGTAAGTAGCGAGGACATTACAGCACTGGCTCAGATTATTAATTCACACACAGGCCACAGGTACCCAGAAATTGTAATAAGCAAAGGTCAGATTTTCACAACTGAAATTACACGTACAACAATAAGAAATATAAGTCAATATCAAAGGAAGGCCTTGTCTTCAGATCCAGAATGTTTCACTCTGCAGACTGCTAATCCGTACAAAATGACAGGCCTGAGTGCCAGTCCCTCTACTGATACGGAGAAACCTTCTATGACACAATGTGTAGAGGTTCAGATGAATACAATGTGTGTTCACTCTTCAGATTACTTTCCCGTCAGCCTCTCAGATTTGGAATTTGGCCAGACGATATACTGGAGTGAACACGCATCTCAAAACCACAAACTCCTAGCACTCGACTTCAGTGGTAAAGTTACAGCTGTGGGTAGTGATGTAAGCAAACTGAAAGTAGGAGATCACATTGTCTCCTGCTACCCTGTGGTTGCTTCCTCCAAAGTCACAATTCCTGAAGCTGTGTGCTATAATACAAAGAAATTCCCCTTTCTTGTGGAAGTGCCATGTTTATCCTACTTTATACTGTCTTGGGAAATCCTGCATTGTGCATTGCCCAGACTGAAACAGCAGAGGAAGCTGGGCATTGTCTGCACTGCACCAGAGTCAAGCCTGCTCCAGGTTTTGGTGCTTGCAGCTAATAAATCAGGATGGGTTACTGTAGCTGGAACACAGTTCAGTGGACTGTTACAGAACATAAACAGGTGTGATGCTTTCGTTTTCTTGCCTCCCTTTGATGCAGATTCAGTTGCAAAGGCATGTAGTGTTTCTAGTGCCAAAGATGTCATTGTTGTCTGTGATAATCAGCTGTCACCCTCCATCTCACAGAAAATCTTTCCAAGTAAAAATGAAAATGTTCACATTTTGCCCCTTCAGGTATTTAATATTTTTCAAAAGGCCTATCTCAAGAAACAAAAAAGGAAAATCTTTAGCTGGATAAAATCGTTGAATTTGGAAAAGAAATCTTTACATCTCAACCGTATCACATTGGGCAGCACTGACTTCCTACACCTTCAAGGCCCTGAATCTTATTTCTGTTGTAAAACTGTGCCTGTAATTGTGCTGGCTTGGGCACCAAAGAAGATCATTTCTGATATTCCAGTGCTCGAGATTGAAAAGCAGCTTTTCCAGCAAAACTCAGTTTATATGGTGACAGGGGGACTTTCAGGTTTGGGATTTGAGACGGTGAAGTTTATTGCAGAACGGGGAGGGGGGTGTATCGTCATTCTTTCCAGAAGTGCTCCTTCAGCAGAAAAGCGAGTAGAGATCACTAGTCTACAAAATCAATTTGGAGTCTCTGTTATTAGCTTGCAGTGTGATGTTTCAGTTTCCGCACATGTTATGAAAGCCATCACTGACATTGGACAGAGGTTTCCTTCTTGTCCCATCAGAGGGGTTTTCCACAGTGCAGTTGTCTTGCATGATGGATTAATTGACATTCTGGAAAAATCACACTTTGAAAAAGTTCTGAGACCTAAGGTTAATGGTGTGCTAAACCTGCATTATGCAACAAGAAACTGTAAACTAGATTACTTTGTATGTTACTCTTCCATTACATCATTCATTGGAAATTCTGCTCAAACAAATTATGCTGCTGCAAATTCATTTCTGGATGTGTTTTGCCATTACCGGAGAAACCTTGGACTTTCTGGACAATCCATTAATTGGGGGGCCTTGAATCTTGGTCTCCTACTGAACCAGGAACATTTACAACAATTTCTTGAGACAAAGGGAATGATGACCATGGAAGTACCAGAGATTCACGAGTGTCTTAAACACTGCTTGCTGCAAAACAATGCTCAGCAGGTTGTGTGCAAGTTTAGCTTCAGGAACCTAAGCAATCATGTTCTTTCTCAAAATGCCTCTTTAAGAATGCGCTTACAGACTTTGGTGACAGAAGAACTGAACAACACTAAAGTAACAGAATCACAGGCTGAAAATACTCTCGTCTCTTCACCCGATGAGTATGTTAAGTCTCTGCTCTGTGAAGTAGGTAATGTTGATCTTGATGAGATGAGAAATGACACAACTCTTTCTGCACTGGGTATTGATTCAATGTTAGCAATGACTCTGCAAAACCGCATCTTTCAAGAAAGAAAAATGAATGTTCCACTTGTAAAACTTCTTGATCCGAATGCAACAGTTTCTTCTCTGGTGTTGGTTCTCCAGGAAAACAGAGAAACAGATTTTCAGAATGAGGGTAAGAATAATTCGTTAAGGAAAGACGATAAAGATGAAGAGGATGAGTACACACAGTTTTAAACCTTTTTCACACAACACTACCTTTTATAGCTGGTATCCAACATACCTGATATAGCACTAAATACTGTATTTTTACACGTATTTTTTAGTATAATCTTTTTCAAAAAGGCATAGAATTTTAGACTAAAAAAATGAAAAACAAAACGTATTAATTAATCATTAATGCAGAATGGTTCTTGTCCGCCAAGAAAATTCAATGTTTTATTTGGATGTGACCTTTGTTAGTCTGTTGGTCCTTCAGTGAAACTACAGGTATATCACATAAGAGAAGAATGATTTTAAGAATGGGAAAGGCAGATGTTTTCACAGACAATTATTGGAACCATGTTCATGTTGCCATGTTGCTGATACTCTGGTACCCTTAGATTAAAGTCTGAATAAGATCTGCAGATCAGTTAGCTGCTAGCAACTAAAGGAGCTAAATCATTACCAAAACACCTCCTTTCCAAAAAGTATCATCAGTAAGGATGCTAAAAGCACTTTAAATATAGGAGACGTCTCGTTTCTTGTACCACTTGGGTGATATTTGGTAGCCATTACCAAATGGTTGTAGCAGCCACTCTTTGCCTTAGATCAGGAAATTAGTTTACCCCTTGAATTAATAGAGCTCCTTAGACTGGCCAGATTGTGAAAACCCAAAGTGCAAATTACACAGGAGAACAGAATGAACAACCTTATTCCTAAAAATGGAGCCATGAGATAGTCATTGATAATAAGGGTAGGACCCCACTATCGTCTCATCTGGAAGACAGCATTTCCTACAGCATAGTGTTCCCTGTATGTTTATGAAGAGGGGAGAACTAATCTAAATTAGAAAGAAGACGAATTTCTAATATTTCTCACCATTTTTTTAATCCTGCACCTTGTTTGTTTTATCCAAACTATCGGACATTATTGTACCCATATACGCCCATGTTATTTTTACTGCTTCTACAAAATGTGATGCAATGGAGTATAATTTAATTTGTAAAATATCTTTATATTCAGGTTTACGGTTATATTATTTCGTATTAAATGTAAGTTATCAGTCGTTAAACGATTTAGGACAATTTTTGTAATAATTAGCAAGATTATTACATTTCACAGCAATAAATAATTAGAAAAACATTTCTTAATTTTCTATTCAAAGATGATAGTAAATACATTTTGTTGTGTTAGACTCAACAAAGAAAACCACACATGGTTCTGATGAATCGAGTTTGGGTTTCTTTGTTGCACTTTTCAATCACCTTTTCAACAATAGGCTTCTATTTCTAGAAAGAAACAGAATTTCCACCGACTAAATCATACATTTTCATGATTGATCAGTAACAGTTTTTTGTCCTATGATGTGTTAACAAGGTCAGAAGGACAGGCAGCTCAGGTCAGCCTTGGGCAATAAACAAAGACTTGAAGAGGATGAAAACGTGTTCCCTTCATGTCGTTAAATCTGAGCGTAAGATAATGAATTATATCTCCAATCTCCAATCAAGAGACTTTGGCAAGCCAGGAATACGCAAAACAATAAAACAATTCTTAAAGGCTCAAATGTTAATTCATAACAAACATAGCTTCCTTCAGTTGGAATTGTGTCACAAGAAAAATAAAATATTCCTGACAGGTCGCAGGATCATTACTTTTATATTAAACAGTTCAGTTTTTTTATGGAACTCCCTGCTCATACAGTTGAAACTGTCTCTATTGGTTTAATGAGGAAATCGACTGATTCTTGCTTATTAGCAACCATATAGCCATATAATGGGGCTCTTTGTGCCATTTTGATGTTGTCAATATGAAGAATGATAAGCGATGGAGATTCTAGTAGAGAATAATCACGTTGTAAAAGGTGTCTGTAATCTTCATTTTGCCTGAACTGTATAATTAACATGCAAGGACAATTAAATCATCTTTCTCCAATCTTATGTTAATCCACTAGAAAGCAGACTTTTTTTCCTAGGTACACCTGCTTTTCTCATATTTGGAAATATATTAGTGTTTGACAAATTTGCATTGTATAAATTGAAATGTATATTATGCACTTTGTAAAAAGTTTTTAATCACAGACCTTACCTGTATATCATTGAAGTTTTTAAATATATTATAAATCAGTGACGAAAAAATTATATTAAGGAGCTGGTAGCCTGGCTGGAGAAACCGGAAACATACTTTAAACTACACCCCTGCTATAGTTTGTTTGTTACAACATTAAAGTTGAACTGCAGTCCCATTTTCACAGACCAGTCATTAATCTCGGTAACAAAATAAAATTCACGGTAAAGCAAAGTTTTATAAATTTCAAATTAAGCACAAAATCGTATATTTTGTGAAAGTACTGTATAGCTGCCAAGTTGTTGAGTTTGTGCGAATTGTATAGTGATGTGGCCCTTCCTGGTCACTAGTCACTGTAATGACTAATGTAATGCTGTTTATCAGCAAAACAATCTTGAAGTTGTAAGCAATATTTCTATTAAATTGAAAGAGATGTATTCACAACCCTGCTGTTTACAATGTAATAGTGCAATTTCATGTAATTGGGCGTTCTGCAAGTTTTTACAAGTTAGATTTTAGAAGTTACTGTGTACATTTTACTTTCATTGGGGTTAGAAATGCACTCATTAATGATGATTTTTTTAACCCTGAAATTTAAAAATGGCATGAATGGCTTCATTCATAAGAAGTACAAGAGCAGAAAATCACTGGTTTGTTTAAAATGACTGTGAAATGATACTGTTTGATAATTAAAATCACTAATACTGAGATAAGTTTGACTTGTTCACTTGTTGATTAAAGTTTCAAAATATTTTCTCCTCTAATTGTAACTTCAAATCCATTCTTCTCATTACCTGTATTTGGCTACAGTGCGTTTGAGCTTTATTTTTTCGCCAAGACATTGCTCAAAAGATCTGCAGTGCTGAAAAGTATAATATAATCATTAAATAACAACGCACTTGCATGTTGTCTGAAACATTAAACTACAAAAGTTAAATACCTGAAGGCGGCACATTGCTGCTTTGCAGTGCTGGGGCCCTGGGGGTCAATTTCCTGGATACAGTCTGCATGGAGTTTGTATGTTCTCCCCATATTGATGTGAGTTTCTTCCCACTGCCCATTCTGTCCATACCATTATCCATACCGGTAGGCTTCTGTAAAACTAGCCCCGATGGGAAAGTGTGTGTGAGTGTGTTTGTGTCTGCCCTGAAATGGATGGGGACCAGGGTGAGCCCTGCTTGACTCTTGTTGTTTGCCGGGATAGGTCCCCTGCACCCCTGAATTGGAAGAAGCAGTTAGACATGGCTGGGTGGAGGAACTGAATGATTTATAAAAGTATCTAAAACGAAGCCGGCGGCGGCGGCGCTGCTTAGTTTTTCCGGTATTCTGTACAATTGCCTGCATTACTGCCATCAAACATGTCAGCGATGAAAGCCAGGCTACTTCCGATTTTACCACCCAGTCAAACCCTACAGGCACCTTGGTACTGAAAGTTAATCTTCATACACCAGCCTTAAGCTTTTCCTCACGTCGATGCTGACAGGAAAAGCTGCCTCCTTTTGAATTCACATTCCCGTAATAAAAATGAATGGCATTCCTCAATTTATTTTTCCTTCTTCTCTGCTTTCTTTCACTTCGCCCCATAGAACACCGACATTCATGAAAATTCAAATGGAAAGTGAAGAGATTATTCAATTTTCCATTCTACAGAACAGTCTTCGGACCGTTTAGCTTTATCAGACTTTTCAGTGTTATGGTGACAAGTGTGTCTGGTTTCTCCATTCGACACCACAGGAAGGGTCTGAATACTTGAGCTTTAGGTACAACCACATGGAAAAACACAAGGACTTCAACCTTGTAATGAGGACAAGGAAAAAACCTGAAGTACCAGAACCTTAATATGTATAAGCAAAACATGAGTAGTTATCTAACATTCCTCAAGATAATTTAAATCAATAACCTGTTGAAGAAGTAATTACTTCTGCTCAAGCGTTTTTTGTTGCCATTTTCTCCTTAAGAAATATCTTGTCAGATTTGCACAACATTGAGTACAAGAAATATGAAGACTTTATTATATTTTGGAATGGACAATTAAGATCACTTGCCTAATTTTACTTACCAATATACACATGTGCAGCACAATCCATGGTAACCTGTTCTAACACTGCATACAGTGCGTTGAAAAAGTGCTCACCTCCTACCAAAAATGTCATTTTGATTAAATTGTAATGATCAAATCACTTAGAAGTTAAAGAGCTCTAATATCGGCAAAAACTGTCAAGACAATTTGAAATTTAAGGATTGCATAATATTTTTGGACCTCTATTGCTAGTTTGCTAAAATCTAGTTTAATCTTTAAATAATGTGCTGATGTGTTATTGAAACAAACTATGTCAGTATTACGTCAGTCTTATGTCAGTTAGCCCTCTTAAGCTGAAAACTATAAATCATTAAATAACAATGCACTTGTGAAGCATCTTTGATAGCAATTACTGTTAATGTTTTGTTTGGATGGATCTCTTAATAGGTTTGCACTGTGCAACATGGCATACTTTGGCCATTTTTCCTGGTAAAGCTCTGAGAGAGTTGTTGGGGACCAGCGATAGATGGCGATCTATAAGTCTCACCTTCAATTGCATATTGGATTAAAGTCAGAATTTTGAATGGAGCACTCAAGCATATTCATTTGCTTTCTGTCAGACCATCGCCATGTGGTACTGACCTTGTGCTTTGAATGACCTGGTGAAATGTGAATTTTAAACCCAATTGTAGATAATTGGGCGATGAGGATTTTCACCTATACTTGGCACAATCCATTTCCCCTTCAGTGTTTGACAGTTGAGGTGGTGTTGACTGGGTACTATGCTGTGTTAGGCTTGTGCCAGACTATTGCACTTAAACCAAAAAGCGAAAAGCTCCACAATACAATCTCTTTCCGCAATGACCTCTCGTCACTCACCCATATGGGTCTGTGTAGACTATTGTCGATATACAGTATGCACACTGATGTCCATCCAAGATACAGAACTTTGTAGATTACTCAAAGTCACTATGGGCTTCATAATAAAATCCCTAAATCAGTCTTATTCTCACCACTCAGTTTTGTAAGGTGGCCGGATCTGAGCAGCATTTGGGTCACGTGACATACATTCCACTTCTTAATGATCATCAACCTTGACATTTTCTCGTAACCTTCTCATTATCCAGGCTTCACTACCACTTTATTGGTTGGCCATATCACCATGCAAATTCTGGCTTGGAATTCAATATCTAACTAAGAGAACTTTCAGAGACAGATGTTTTTGCTCTGAAGTCATGTTAAACCAATTTGATTACAGAGACCATGCCACTTCTCTGCAAAGTTTCTGCATTACAGGCTTTAAAAATGTAAAGTTTAGGGTTTAAATTTCCCTAAATATGCAGTACTTTTATTGGCAAAATAAGAAATTCAATATTTACAAATTTTACATTTCAACCCGTATTTATGACATTTTAGAATACAGATACTAACACCAAATTAAGTTTATGCTTAGTATAAATCACTAATTTATCATGCTGAAAACAAAAGTAGTTCATATTGAAAATTGTGTAGCACTTCTCTCTTCTGATATCTATAATGAAAAAGTAATTCTATAAGTTCAGTTTACAGCACACACACCTTATATGTAATTCAACCAATAAAACAGATTGGTCAGATTTCCCAAGCCCGTAAATTAATCATAATCACCTCGAGTTATATTAAAGAAGTCCAAAACGATCCCTGTTGCAAGCTAATTTGAAAGTTTATTATTGAGGAATTTTTTCATCTTGTGTCTTAATTCTTGTGTACACACAAAACAAAAACCAGAAAAAATGTTGTTGAAAATAACTGATAACTGGACGTGAACAGGTAACATCAAAGGGGTACATAATGACACCTCTGAGGCAGAACCTTGACATTAAAAGTGTAACAAAAATAAATAGAGCCCATAGGTATTTCAGAAAGCACGGATGATGAGTTTTATATCAAATGACCGTACCCCTGAGATATTGTTGAAGACTTGCAGGGAAGCAGTAGGGATTTCATCACTACAGAAAGACTTCACACATAAAAGCACAATCCTTATCAGAATCAAGGGGAAAAAATGGGATAAAATATGTATACACAATCATATATTAAGAAAAATAAACTACACAGATTCATTCAATGCTCCCCCCCCCGGTCTGTTGCATATTTACATTCATGAACACCCAACCATTTCTGCTGTGAGGAAGACATCATCTTGGCTCCAGTTTCTTTCCATTCATGATCATTTGGATTTCTTTGGCATCCAGAGTTTCATATGTCAACAAAGCATCAGCTAGGTTCTTGTGCTCCTTAGTGTGGGTCTTTAAGATGTTTTTAGCACGCTCATATGAATCCTGTTAAAAAATGAATAAACGAGATATGCTCAATCCCACACTAGTCTTTACTCTGTTGATAAACCTTTTCCATACCAACAAGAACTCCTTAGTCCTCACTACACAGCATCCCACACTGCATGTTCACAACTTGGAAGCTGAAAATCTGGTAAAGTTCATAACCTGCAAAACCCATCGGAAAATACAGGCTTTTTTGAACCAAAGCAAGTAGAGAAATCTATTGTATGTATGGTTGAGCAAATAACCATTTTGAAATCTATAATGTAACACTCAAAATATATTTTTCTTGTATGCATAAGAGCAAAATTTGGAAAGACAGGAGATCCTTACCCTCAGGAGTACTCTGACTTCTTGCTCAATGGCAGCTTGTGTTTCTGGACTGAGTTTGCTCTGATCGGCATACGTCATGACGCCCAGCTAAGGAAGGGGAACATCAGTAACAGTTATAGATGGACAAACAAAAAGCAAAGACTGTTCAGAACTGCTTCGCTCACCACCTGTAAAATTCCACCATGATTCCAGGTAGATAAAAAGGTTTACACTCTGCACAAATTAACCTTTCTTTGCAAGTAAACTTCAAATCACATTCTCCCTTAATCCTCACCTAATAAAGGTCAGATGCATGATATTCTGCAAGGACAAACACTCTTCCTACCTTTTCACTCATTCCAAATCTGGTCACCATCATCTTTGCTATTTTAGTTGCACTGTCAAAATCACTTGAAGCACCTGAACAGAAAAAAATAAATTAAAATACAATAACACCTGTAAAGGTACTTTAGAAAATGTCTATGGTCAGGCTTACCAGTTGTGATGTTTTCACTCCCAAATATTAGTTCCTCAGCAACCCTTCCACCCATACTGACATCCATCTGAGCTAGTAACTGAGAACGAGTTTCACTCCACCTGTCATTCTCTGGAAGTAATGATACCTTTAAAAAAAAAAAAGAGAATGGAAATTATTTTCCGGCATAAAAACAAACAAAAGAATTCGCCATTGAAAATGTACAAGAATTCTACCTATCCTTTTCTTGAAGGATCCCACAGAGTCAGTTTTACCACATGACTCACATGTATGATCTGGATTCCAACAATCATTTATGGAAAGTTGTGCCTCCTGTTTTGCGTCTTAAATGATCCTTAAGTGACTTTCTACTTTTGTCCTGGTGTTCTTGTGTTGATGTTGAATTTAAAGAAAATAATCCATAAAATAATCTGACCTTCATGATTCTGAATTCCCAACCCCATTTGTTTGTGGTGCAAACTAAAAAGATTCAGTTCTCTCTTAAACACTCGCATGGTACAAATTCACATTTTAGTGTGATGCAATAAAACCCTGTAATGTTTCTGATGCTTGCATTTCATTTGCAATTTATTCCAGCCCAAATATAAAGAGCCTATTGCACAGATTCCACTATAATGCCTCACATGCACAGTTCTGAAAAGAGGTGTTGGTTTGAACATTTGTGAATTCTGAAGTGATAAAAAAAAATCAGAAAATAATATTCTGGAAACATTACAGAAACAGACAGAAAATGTATCATAAAATTATAAAGCAAACAAAAGATACTGATGGAAACAATAGAACAATAACAAGAATAAGGTGAATAAATACCCAGCTGTGTCAACAATTCCTATGACACACCAAACATTCGATAGTTATAAAGCCATAAAGAGAGTGAGGAAAGCTGATGTTGCACTGGTTATAAAAAGTATTATGTAGAATATTTGAACACCAACATTTCTGTCCACCAGTAAACCCTAAGAATGCTGGCACAGAAAACGAATGCATCCTGGTTTCTGTACAGCATGTTAAACATTGGCCTCAGTTAACAACACCATTAAAATGTACTTAGCTGCAGCACAGTTCTTTCTTTCAGGCGCCGTATGCATGGGTACCAAACACACCTGCAGAGCTCAGTGGTCAGACGGCAGTTTTACTGTACTCACATGGCCAAGAGTAGGCCCTCGGGGCATAATGGTAGCCTTGTTGATGGGCATGGCGTCTTTGGTATAATAGGCAACAATAGCATGGCCTGACTCATGGTAAGCAGTGATAGTTTTGTTCTTCTTGTCTATCTCAACACTTCGACGTTCAGGACCTGATAAGGGTAAAATCCAGGAGACATTAAGAACACCTCCCCATAAATCTTGAAATCCTTAGAAGTCGCATAGGACAACAGGTACTCAATCCTCTGCACCTGAAGATCCACCAGCCCATGCAATCAAGACTGAAACCCTGTCAACTTTGAACTCAAATTAAAGTGACCTGCTGACAGACTCTTAAGATCGTGTGTAATTAAGCCTTGCTCTTCTATTGTTTTTCACAACTTCCAATAAATGGCATAAGCATAGGTGGTGCCTGAAATTAAATTTCAGCAGACTAACAGTGACAACGCTGATAATAGGGTGAAGCTACCATCTTTGATTTTATGGCTCACAGAAAAGCTGGTTCAAGCAACCTACTGCTGGGTCCTAACACAAGGGCTGAAAACTAATGTTGGAGAGTTCAGTGAAAGTCTCAAACTGCAGAACCTTTCAGGATTTCTCATTCTTACTGGAAATACATATATGGATACCTATAATAAGTACATAAAAATACAGAAATAATTAACCCCCCCCTAAACAAGGATATTAGAACACACACCCATCAGAATTTTGTCCTTGGAAAACTCAAGTTCCTTCATGGTGACCATATCCTTGCCATCCACTGCTGCCTTCAAAGCAGCCTGATTCACCAGATTCTCCAGCTCTGCTCCAGAGAAACCAACTGTTCCTCTTGCAATAATTTCAGGATCAATAGCTATGAAATACACAAAAATACAAGTAGGTTTGACCAAGTTCAAAAACTATAAATCAGCAAAGAGTGCTATACAAAACTTGTACAGTAACAGAATTTCCACTACAACAGCTCATATCACCAACAAGAAAAGCAAAAATCAAGAAAAGTAGAGAAAATCTTCCTTTTTTGGGATCTTTCTATATTTTTCCATTCAAACACAAAATCGTGAACTTTGTGAAAGTACTGCATGGTCACCACAAACCACCGGTCTTGTCACAAGTGAAACCGAGAGTTTGTGCGCATTGTGACATGATGCGGTCCTTTAAAATGTTTTATGGGTCTAATTCCATTCCATTCAACAGTTACAATACACAGCGATTAGGAAACCCTGTTTAAGGAGATATGATACTCTACGCACCACTATCAAATTTAATTTTGTTGAGGTACCACTTCAGAATTTCCGTCCTCCCTTTCACATCCGGCCTTGGTACTGTGACCTGCATATCGAAGCGCCCAGGACGGATCAGAGCACTGAAAAAGAACATTTCACAGTAACATTCAGGCTTCAAACCTTTCCGAGAAAAACTTCACTGCATTAAATTTAGGCAAAAAAAACTTACTTGTCCAAAGCCTCTGGGAAGTTTGTTGCTCCGATAATGATGACCCCTTCATTGGGTTTAAACCTGCAGGCATTTCAAGATTTAGAGAATTGAAACGGCTGAAATTGTATTCAATCAACCTACCTGAACATTACTACATTTCCTACCTGAAAAACGAGTGATGGCTGATGCATACATGTCACGATGGACAAAAATAAACATTTTGGCACTATATTGTGAAACTGTAGTCTCTCCAGGAAAAGTGAAGCAGGGTTGCAGAGAAAATAACATCATCTTCCTTAGCTGGATGTGAAATTTAACAAAAAAATCAAACTGAACTGTTGGTTAATTAACTGTTGTGCCATCACAAATTAAAGTTAAATCAACAGTTTTGACCTGACTTCATACGTTGCTCAATGTAGGAATGTAGAAATGTAAGGAACAGCTCAAAGCGAAGCAGCTGATAAAAAGCAGAGTTAAAATCACATCCTGGTGGATATGTAAATTTTAAAACAAGATTTGAGGCATGTATAGAAATTTCTATACCAAGTGTTTTTAGTACAATACATCCTTGGGGCCATGTGATTGCAGGCATTATGTGTTTGTTTCTTATCTTGCAGTCTTATAATTCGTGCTCTTATTCACAAAAAAACTAAATAGGAAACAGTAGATCTAAAACCATTCAAGCTTTAATGGAGTCCCTGAGCATTTGGTGCATTTCTTAAAAATGGTATTTTCTTTCTTTGAGAACACGTTTGTTTGCCTAATGCCCTCCACTGAACTTCATGAAAGATCAGCTGGAAAATATTGCCATTTGGGAAATTTACATGACATTGTTCAACACTACTGATTCTCGCATCATTAACTACAAACTGACACACTGATAAATGTGCCCCACCTGTCATCACAGGTAAAAACCTGATGAAAAGTGAAATCTGAACCTTGCTTCAATCACACTGTACTTAAAATATACTGTAGTGATTCATTAAGCTCAGTGTTGTGTTCATATCCACATTATTTTAGATTTTATTCACATAACTCAACTTTGTAATGTGCACATATGATCCTGATCCTTAAAGGTTAAACTAAGTGTGAAAACAGTAAAAATTAAAACCAATTAACCTATTAAATCCCTAAGTCTGCACAACTATAAAATATGTTTTGGGCTAGAGTATTTTCACTGTAAATAAAAACTTTAATTACTAGATACAGTGAAAACACTAGCTGACTGTACCCTAACTATGCTGGATCAAAACTGGCTGAGGGTAGGTTGGTGTTAGTCAGAGCTCTCTTGGCTCTCAGTGACACAGAGACCATTATGACCTCTCGATCCTTTTTTGCCATGTAGCTCTCGTCGATGAACAAGCCTCTCCTCCAATCAGATATGAACCTTTGAAATAGAGCTGTGGTACAGGCTCAAAGGTGGGTAGTTTGGAGGAGCTTACCAATAATTCCTGATCAAAACTAAATCAAAATAGGATACTCAAGACAAAAAAAAAACACTGACTACCTGGCATGAAAAATAAA